CCAGACAAGCCATCCGCCGCCGATTTCTGCGACGCCGGCGACGAAGAAGAGGATGCTCACGTACGCAATGAGCGAGTAGCTCCACTGCATGTGTATGAGAGCCGGCGCAGCGCTCAGGCCGGGTTTTGGGAAGGGCCGGTACCACAGGAGTTCGTACCGATACTGAAAAAAAAAAAGCGAGCGCGAGGCGTGTTCTCGAGGTTCTCGAGGTGGATATCCTTTGGCCGCGTTGGGTAGCGAGGATTGGTGTAACCCGAGCCACGGAGGCGTGTTTTCTGACGGCCGACCGTCAGTGCACGGAGTTGCCCCTTCTCCGACTGCCCCGGCTAGTTCACGGGTTTCGCGGGAGTAGGCGTCACGGCGCGACCGCAGCCGCGGAGTCTCCAGGCAGTGGGAACTGATCGAGTTAGCGCTGCATCGTAAAATGTTGGCTGCGTTCGAGAACATGTGAAAGACAAAGAGGCTAGAGGGGGGCGAACTGCGGGGTTTGACATCTACACCCAGTGCCTCACGCCCAGGCAGTCTGTTCCAGCATAAATGATAGTGAAAATAGGTTCCATTCGTGATATAGAGAGACGCGTTTGGTGTTAAGATTCCTCGATATCAGTTACAGTTTATCAGCGTTTTGGACACCGGGACGGCGACGCCGATGCTAGATCCCAACATGAAATGAAAAAATGAAATGACATGCGATGTGATTTCTCTCTGCGACTTCGTGAATATTCAGTCTCTCTCTGTCTGCCGCTCGCTGCCCCTGGCACGCGAGCCGCTCGCCTCGCTCGTCTCCGCCCCTGCCATCTGTCTATCCTCGCGCGGCTGCCGCGCTAGCGCCTCCGCTTGTTCCGCTGCGGCCTGCGCGCGCAGCAGCCGGTTCAGCTCCTCGAGCGCGTCCGCCTCATCCTCGGAGAGGCCGATCGGCCGCTCCGCGCCGTACTCCAGCGCCTCCTCGGCGAGGCCTCTCAGCCGCTCCGTCTCGCGCAGCTCGATAATCTCGATCGTGTCCACCTCGCTCAGCCCGATCGGGATCTCGGCGCAGCCGGCCGTCTGCGCCCACCCCTCCTCGGCCAAGGACGCGAGCCGCACTGAGGAGCGGAGCGCCTCGAGCTGCGCCGCCTCCTGCTCGCTCAGGCCGATGGCAACTTCAGACGACATCGCCTCGGACGCAATGGCGGAGAGCGCCTCGCTACGATCCCGCTCCGCCTGTTCCTCCCGCCTCCGCTCTGCTCGCTGCAGCCACTTCGCCGCGATGACGTCCGCCGCCATCGTCCGCCAACGCGCCTTGGCGCGGGCCGCTGCCGCCTCGTCCGGCCGCGGGAGGCAGGGCGGGCGGAGGCACAGCAGCAGCTGCCGCACATCGATGCCGAAGAGCTCGCTGCACGAGTCCGCGATTCCCGGGCCAGGCCCACAAGCGAGCGCTAGTGAACGCCCAGTCCCTCCGTCCGTGCGCGTGTGTGACGAGGGAGAGCTCGCCGGCGCTCGCTACGCGCGCGTTTACGGCTTCGCTTTCTTTCTGTCGGGCTTCACGGCGGCGACTTGCGGAGCCTCGACGTCGTAGAGTTCCACGGATGCTTTGTGCGGTCGCGGCCCGCGACGCCGAGCAGTTGTCTATAGGCGTCGAGGTCCGGCGCGACCTCGCCGCCCTTATTGGCGGTTCCGGCGAAGCAGGCGTTCTCGAGGCTCAGCGTAAAGCCGCCTTCCAGGACCAGCGTTAGTATCCCTTTGCCGTCCGTCCCGATGGAGTGATGGTACAAGTTGTCGAGGAGGTACGGGGTGTTCGCGTCACACGTGTCCCCGCCCCGGTTCGAGTACCGGAAGCCCGGGCAGCGTCCGTCGATCGCGTCGCAGTCGAGCGTTAAGGAAGCCTTGTGCGTGTGGCCCATGCCCCGGGCGTCGCTATATGTCAACCCAAAGATCTCGTTTTCGTATTGGACGCAGCCCTCCGCCGCGGCGAGTTCTAGGATCGTGTGCCAGAGCGAGTACTGGTCCTTGAACGTGCAGCGGTTCGCGAACCAATGGCGAAGAAGGCCCTTCCGGTTCGCG